CGCGGACAGACATCCAGGGATTGAGTGGGAATCGAACCCACGGTCCCAGTGACCAAGCGGCACAAGGCCCACATCTCAGACCACGCGGCCACTGAGACGGCACGCTACATGTTATATTTCAGATTAAATAAAAAGAAACAGACTTTTATTGAATTAATCTATCTGTTTATTTATATTATGATTTTCCTTATTAGGTTTATGGTGCAGTGCAATTACACGTTTATAACAAAGTATTAATTTCCTTGCATTATGAGGTTAACACACATGGTTCAATCTTGGGAAATAATCTACATTACATTATATTATAAGTTGTCAGAATCACATAGTGTTCAAAACCTGAGAATCACCAGTTCCTCCTATTATTTTGTAACCTACAGTCAGGATACGTACTCATAACATCAAGGTATGGTCTACCATGAGCTGACTGCCCTTGTTGGTTGCTGACTGAGCAGGAGTATTCCCCTTTGTCAACGTGTTCGACTAATAGCGTGCCATTGGAGAACACCCTCTGTCTGAGATGAATGGGCAGAATATCACCAGCTCGCTGCCACGTCACACTGGAGATGGGGAATCCTGCTACTGGACATCTGAGGTATACATCAAGACCCGCGACCACAGTCAGGTTCTGCGGTACACGGGCAGAAGGAGGGCCTGTAATATGTGTACAATCACTGAAACACAGGGCTACAACATTGTCTGCGGGTGTCAAGACAGCATAAAGTAGACTGTCCAGAGATATATTCATGATATTTTGGCTCTCTTTAGATGTCTTCAATAATCTCTTCCTTCTCTATCCTGTATTTTAATGTTTCTTTTATGTATCTTTCATATTCCATTGATCAAATATGATCAATCTTGTGACTTCTATCCTTTCTTTCTTTTTGGAACAAAAATATTTAATTTTCCTTCATGTGTTTGTTTACTTGTCCAATAAACTCGCTCATCCACTTGTTTCTGGAACTCAAAACAGTAACGTATATTTTTATACCACCAGTTTCTTTCATCACTCATATTTTTAATATTCATGAGCCAACTGAAACTACTAGTTTTGTAAAACTGTACCTGTGTAACCTTTACATTTTTCTTGTTTGATGCAAATTTTATGCTTCCACAAATACAACTGAACCTTAATATTAGCCTCTATAACCATGTGAAATATGGCATGGTCAAAGATTATAAACACATCTATAAATCTTAACTTGCCTCTCTAGATATTTAAATTAAAAATTAAACATTTAAGTTCTTCCCAGAACTTCTTGTGAATGCCTGAAGCATTGTATGCATGGTTATGCTGCCTTAGGGATAACCTACTATAAATATTGAGCATGGCGGAGTGCTGAACAGAACCAAGGACATTTCTGGCAACACAGGTGTAGATACCACCATGCTGTACACGAACGGATGAGATGTTGAGGTGGCTGATGACGTTGCTTGCGGAATCCAGGTAACTGCCCAGAACATAGCCTCGGGGCATGAGCTCACTTCCATCAAGAAGCCATGTGATACGTGGTGGGGGGTTCCCCGAGGCAGAGCATCTCAGTGACACTGGTGGGCCTGGCTGCAGGGTCTGTCTATGAACGTTAACTGCTGTGAACTTAATGTTTTTTCTACTTTTAACAAAGGAAATGTGGAGGCTGAGTAAAGTTCTAAGGTGAATTAATTACATATAAGATCCTGAACCTTTGTATGTTAATTATGGTTTTAACTGCAATCATTTTTGAATAGGTATGTAATGTAAAACAGCAACATAGTAACTACTCGAAATCAATAATCACTTTCATCTGATGAAAATTATGGACAAGCCTTCACAAATATGAAAATTCATTTGGTAAATTTATTGATTATAAATATGACATATATTCAAAAAAGGTACTCGTATGTTAGTCAAAGTGAATTTTTAAATTATTCTTATTTGTTTGATATATTAACCAGTGCAGTTACAGATTTAAAGCCTGTTAATAATAAATGATAAAAGTCCAATTGTAATAGCGTTATGAAAAATACTAACGCACCTCCTAGGGTGAGCTCAGCACTACCTTGGGCACTCTCATCACCGCTGCGTGCCATACACTGGTACATGCCACGATCTGATTTCTGAACATTTCTCAAGACCAGCACCTCTCCCTGTTGCATAATGCTGACATGGGGGCTCTCCAGCAAAGGGTGTGCATCTTTCAGCCAAGAGATGTGTATGCCTTCACCCAGCAGCTTGCTCACTACGCAGATATAGCGACCTTCATCCTGTAGCTGAAGACGTGGGAACTGAAGTACAGACTGTAGGGGGCGTACAAGTACCATACCAAGCCCCACCTCCTGTAGCACACCGACCTGGTCGCGGTACCATCTGCAGACATAGTACACTATATGAATATCTGCTTGAAAGTGAGACTATAAAAATGTTTGCTCATGACGCATCTCTTGGACTTTGCAGATTATTCTAGGTTTATAAAATTACTACATTTTAGAAATTGTCCAAGGTTTGGGCTCTAGCTTTAATACCCAGGGCCCAACACAGCAGGACTTTATTATCTGATGAAGGAAATAAAGCCACTTTCAGAAAGATAATTAAAGAACTGAGACAACGGACATAGTTCAAGAGACGTGTAAAAAAAAGATGTCAGAATTTTTTATACACTGTAAGAATGCCTTTTGGATCAGGATCAAAAATATTTCCAGATAAAGTTATAGAATGTTACGAGGGAAATATAGCGTTCTCTGACAGAGATGAACGTCTGTCTATGTATGCTGTCAATTTCAGGCAATGACTGTGCAGTGCATATTGCAAGTATATGATGGCTTTGATCTGACAGACCTGTAGGTGGGAGGGGGTGAACCCTGAGCAGCACAAACAAGGTCAGTGGGACTCCCTGCCCGAGCATTCACAATAGGAATGGAGTGCTCAATCCGGGGTGGGATGTTGCCCTGAGGCTCTGAAACAGCACAGCAATCACAATAACAGAAACAAGAACAAAGCTAATATAATAACTGATATACAAAAGCCAATTTGCTCCGCTTTGATGCCTTCAAAGTATGCTCTCACAGAAAAAATATTTAAATGGGTGTGGATGTTGCAGAAAATGTTCTGGCATATACAGTAACATGTTACATGGCTCATAAAATTTTTTCGAGTAATGGTGCTTAATGGCAACAAAAACAAATTTTCAATGTAGTTCTTTGGCTTCATGAAACTTTGGTAAGACCTGTAATAGATAATTTCAAAGGAATAATGAATAAGGAAAATTCTGTGTCATGGATACTGTTTATTTTAGTGTTACAAAGGGTTTAATGTGAATTTGTGGTGGTGTGTAAGAATGAAATGTGGGATATTCAGACAAATGGTGTTAGGCATTAATTTTTAATGGTAATCATGATTGTCATTTTATGTTGCAATGATAAAATCTGTTTGCTGATCCAGAATAGGTCAAAGGAACAGTGTTGTTGTACACAAGATTATAATTATAACCTGTGAACTAATCAGAAGGTTTAAAAGGAACAAAGAGTCTGAGACATTTAAGGAATGGGAAAGAAATATGGAAGAAATGAGGGAAGGTAATAAATGTACAAAAGGGACAAAGAAAAGGAAGAAAGTGTGTTAGGAGATTAAGATACAAAAGAAATCATTCCCCATTGAATTTTAATGGAGGACTCTGAGAGTGAGCAAGAGTGCACCGCCAGAACCAACCAGACCACTAACCTGGAGCTTTTCAGGGCCCCGACCACATTCAACCGAACTCCCATGTCCCACCGGACGCACTTCCCGAGCCCTCCCTCTCTCACACTCGCCCACGCATTCCTATTGGTCCACTCCCACGTCTGCTCCCATTGGCTCGGGGCAACCTATTCCATTCACATTCCGGCACCTATAAATCTAGCCCCCCACACCCTATTGGCATAATCATCGCCCTGATGATGGAGGCAGTATGACTTCCGAAACGTTGGTTAACATCGACCAGACTACGAAACAACCCAGAAGACAGAAATCTTTTGATCATACATGGTATACATGTCATAGTTTACTGTGATAGATGTAATAATATAACAGGAATAATTACTCATAGATACTTGTATATGAACAACTATTACAGGTTTTCTACTTAAGGAAACATTCTCAGGATCATCTGTCACTGAAGCTTGTGAGCCGTGGAACTACAGGCAGCTTTTAACACCACAAATGTCACACACAGAAATAATAACTGGGAATACTAGTATGAATGTAATGAAAGTACTTCCTCGCTGGCACTTGTGCTTGGAAGAAGAACAATGAAAATATTTTCATGGGAATCATGACAAATCACCGTAACTCACGGCTGATGATGATCTGTCCTGGCATGCTTAGTTTTTTCTCTCCAGTCAGTCGGTGCACAGTCTGGCAGTAGAAGCGAGCAAACCCATCATTGGTCACAGTGTCCCTGATATGCAGCGAACCTGAGGATGTTAAGGTGAACCTGCACCATGGCAACACAGAGTAAAATAGAGATCGGTAATCATAATTAAGTTTACAAAGATTTTATGAACTATATTTGTTTAAAACTCTTGATATTGCACATATTTAACAAAATAAAAGAAAACGATTTTTGTGAACCTGTACAGTGCTTTATGTAAAGGGATTAGCTTTTCAACACTGGGATTCTATCTGCAATAAACGACCATCAAGGACAATGCGATATGTATAATTGCAAAGAATATAATTGAAAAAAATGTGCATTCCATATAATGAATTGGCCATTGTCACAAACCTTTAGAGAATAATTTTTCACTGGGATTAAATGTTGTAAAAGATCCTGAAGAGTATCATATTTGCAATGTGGCAATCGTCAGTGGGTAATTCTTCCCATAGCTTGGTCCAGTCCTCACTACAAACAGCACTTACTTGCCACCAGGATGTATGACGGTTCTTCCCAGCAAGTGTTCGTCCTTTAACCAGCTGGACACTTGGACCAACCCCCTCACAAAGTTAGGGATGTTGCACTTCAGTACAGCAACATTGCCTCCCATTACAAAGACATTATGCACCTGCAGCTGATACGGCTGCACCACATCTGCAAGGGGAACAGAGGACATCAGCGAAGCTGTCTGAAAAAGTCTTTACAAGACAAAGTTTTGTTAACGTTATTAAGACACTCGATAAAAAATATAACATACAAATCAGAAAGATTTTCAATGGACATAACGAATTAGAGAAAATCATTTCGCATTACTAAATTATGTATTTGTTGTGGGACAAGAGGTGTGCACCGGGTATTGGTTGAGAAGCCTGAGGGGAAGAGACCGCTGGGGAGACCTAGACGTAGAAGGGAGGATAATCTCAGGCGGGATCTATGGGAGATAGGAGTTGAAGGAGACTGGATTTTGTTGGCCCAGGACAGGGTCTGGTGGAGGGCTTTGGTTAATTCGGTGATGAACCTTCGAGTTCGGCAAGCCATCTAGTTGGTTGTAACGGCACATCCTGTTGCTAATAACATAAAGGACTTTGTGAAAATTCACAGGTTAACTCTCATTAATTATTAATAAATAACATCAATATAGGCTGGTACATTTGCACTAAGCTGATTAAGCGACATTCATAATTCAGACAGAGACATGCCTGCAGACGAGCAGAGGAGGTGATTTTCTGTTACAGCCAGAGAGGGTGCAATACATGTTATAGGGAACCTGTTTGTTACCGTACTTTACAGATAGATCTTGCTTTGTACATGGAAAGAATTCTTCACAGAACATTTTGAAACATTTTCATCATATATTAGCAGCTTGCCTTAACGAGATTCTTCCAGAAGAGACTTCATCAGCTGCTAACTTAAGCGTTTCCAAACTTGTATTACCTCTATTAGTCTTCCTTTTGTACTTTCGTACCATCTTTCCCGATAAAACAATAAAATGTAATCATTTGCAAACGCAAGTTTATTGCAAAAGATACGGGTCACGCTGATACACTATAACAAAGTGCCCCTTGTCCAGTGTAACAACTGGCCCCACACGTCATTTTGATTTAACGTCCAAAGCAGTGTCAATGTTCGATTGAAGTGAAGAACGAAGTACACGCATTGCTCTTAATATAAAGAGCTTTAGGTAAGGAAATTTTAAAGAACTCGCCTTTATCACACGGTCGTGGAAGTGAGTTCAAAGTCAGAAGAAAAATTTTACGAGACTCGTGAGTTGCTGCTGCAAGTGAGTGATTTTTAAACTAAAATATAACAACCTGCCCGTGTAACAACTAGCCCACTTCATACTCCGTTTGCAAAGCTAATGCATACACAGGGACAATCGAGTCTGTCCACACGTTTCATCTCCGAAAATACGAAATTTCGTACTGGGGAGCAAACACCAAACGCTGTGACGGCGACCGAATAAGAAGGCGATGGACATCTGCTCTAAGGCTGTTCTGTAATTTCCTCCTAACAAACAAAAACTATAAACAATTTTCCCGAATCTAACAAATCCTTACAAAAATGAATGACTAAATATTGCTTAGCACTAGAGCCCATTTCGATCTGGGCGGTCTCGGGTTCAAATCTCGGCTATCCTGACTGGGATTTTTCGTGGTTTCCCCCAGTTCCTACTTAGTTTCTCACTGCCTTAAATTCCATATCATTATTCACTATCATCCTCTCATTCGACGCTATATAGTACTTTGTATTGGCTAATATCGCTAGTTAATGGTTAATACTATAATGAATTTTCTCAGTCGACGGTACATTATGTAAATGTTTGAGTTAGCGCGTTACGTAACCAAACACAATGGTGTGAAATTGTTAAGTATACGCCATACAGGACTTTACTTCTATGAGATCAGCTACACAACGAATTTGGTAACCACCTTCATGTTTCAGACAGATTTTAAAGGTTATCTTTGTATGAGGTTTCTAGACAAACATTAATTAGAACAGACCCTATTAATAAATAGACCATCAATTCAAAGGTCTGATTTGTTCCTTGGCAACGCACCTCTTCTACTTATGTTCCGATTGTTTTGGAATAGGCTGTTTCCTGTAAGCAGACTAATGTAAATTACTTTACCGCTGGATGTTTCTGGTGCTCGCAGGTAGAAAGATAAATTGTCGGAGTATCGCAGTAAGAACAAAGGACTAGAACTGGACGTACAAGGCTTCGTTACTGGGCATGGCGCGTGTTAAGACACTCGAAACGCAATGGCTTGCACTACACTACCTGTGCGGAGCCTACGGAAGCGGTTTATGTTAAGAGTGTTAGCAAGTTCCCTACAGGGGCCAAGGAACTTGCCTTGACGATGCAGTGGCGGTGTCTTTACAGGGCCAGCACTACAATCCAAACAGCGGAGCACAACTTCTCACTCAGAATAAAGTCCGAAAATTCTGTAAAACCGTGATGAGTTAGTACTTGGCGCATTTAATGCACGCGAGAATTACTTACTTTCATATTTATAAAGATTATAAAGAAATGTAGTGCGATATGCATTAGAAAGAAATATTCATTTTATTAAAAATTATTGTTACAGAAAACGGACTTGACAGTTTCCGATGCGTGCTACGTGTTACGCCCATCGCACACTCCTCTATTTAATCTTCGTGAGAATATTAAATGGGCATTAGAAAATAAAAAAAAAGCTTGTTATGTACTTTTCTACACTTTACTCATTTTTCGTCGATCCAAATTTTCTTCTTATCAATTAGTTCCCAGACACTTCCAATCTGTTTTCCCATTAAACCAAGCCTTAGAGTCAAGAAAACGCTACAACATGTACGGCAGGACCTAGTGAAGGGTACTTAAATGTAACTAAGTCTATACTTAGACCTCAGAGTTTAAGTTGTAGTTTCTGTGTAACAGAAATTAAATTTATATTTTGTCCAGAATATTAAAAAAATATAATCTTTGGACAAAACTCACGAAAACGACAAATCTTGGCTTAAGTCGTCTACTGGTCGAGTTTAGAACTTGAGGCCTCCAAAATACAAAACACTGGTGATAACCTTGGGAAGTTGGCTTACTCCCACACTAGTAATACAGAGTGTCCATGCCCATACAGTTACGAGGTCATAAAAGGGAATTAAAAAATGACTCAACAAACGCTGAAAGATGGTACGCTACTAACTCATTCATCTCACAAGAAAATGCATTCTCATAAACATGGATAATTTGTCGAAAGTACCATATACCAAACACTGAATTAAATTTCACCATTACTGGATCTGAGAGATGAGAGAGGTTGTGAAATATGCACAGATGTTCTGGTCAGGTGTGTGATATAAAGCTAAAAGGAAAAAAAATGTAGACATATTTAATTGTGACGTTTTAAAATTTCTCAGTGTTCTATTTATTAAACTTGACGCCTGGGAACCATATAATGAACTCCCGACATTTGAAGGCAAATAGCCGCTTCCTAGTTTGTAAGACCCTGGTTAATGTTTAACAGAGTCTAATGCCCTGTTCATTTCCATAACAAGTGACGGTAATGAACACGCCTTTGGTAAAGTTAACTGCGAGTCATTACGAAAGAGGATTACAGCAAGCAGTTTAAGCCCCCGCCCATCGTCTCCTGTGAGACACAATTGCATAAAGAAAATTGTTTCTTGTTTATATGCACTTTGTTTTTAAGCGAATATAACAACCTCAGTAGAAGATAGGAAGTGGCTTTAGAAGGGCTTAGTGTGATTGCAGCGAAGTTCGATTCAACAGATGACCGATTCGTGGCTTAACGTAATGACGTTTGGAAACTCGAGGTGCTTATAGACGTTAAATCAGTATAGATTGTGCAGGAAATGACCATTGTTTTTCTACAAGGACCATTATGAACTAAGCTTTCAGTCCGTTGGGAAATGAAGATACAAGAGTCGATTCCAGATTCAGTTCAAGAACATTCTGAATGTAAACAATTTTACCCCTTAGCTGGAAACAATCTGGGTCGGACACCGCATGGAAAGTGTGTTTCTCACAACAAGGAAGCTGAAACGACCGCCATTTCAGAATCGTGGAAGGTAGGGATTTAAGACATTGCAGCCTTTAATAGCATTCACTTTAAAACCAAGTTTCATGCCAGACTATGAAGATTAAACTTACCGGAGAACATAAAGCACAGATAGAATGCATCGTTATAACAAGTTATTTTGCTGTAATGGAAACATTATGTTGGCCCTTGTTTATTGTACGAGGCATATCTGACAAACACGACGTTTCGAGAGTTGCCAGGGATAGGGTTAAAAGACGTTTTCTTATTCAAAATGTCTCCGCGGGCAACATGACACAGCTGGTCTGCTTTAGAGAATCACAAAGTTCTTCTGCTTTTTATTAACCAGCCTAATAATTAACAAATGGGTCTATGAAATGAATGGCGTTAGATTTGTTACGTCCTGAAGGACTCTTACACACTGGCATGTGACGTACTTGGGTTCTACTCAGAATCTTTTTCAGTAGACGCAGAGAGATTTTGACCGTGGGGGCAAAAGCGACTAGAGAGCGAAGATGGCCACTCAGCTCTCAGGTCTTCCTAAATTCCGAGGTTTCGAGTGTTCTGACCCAGTGTCACAAATCCCACATTCACCGAGACGAGGCGCCGGCAACGTTCGGCCCCATTAATGACAGCGCCAAGGCGAAGGAAATGTTGAAGTTATTCGGACACTTAAATCACTGTAAGAACATGTTCCGCCACTGAACACGCGGTAGGATTACTACAGGAGGTAATGAATAATGGAGCATCACGTTCAGGGGCCGTGCAACTCCACAGCGCCACCGCTAATTCTTACCGCCGAACCCTCAAGTTTCCAGAGGCCTGCGATTTAAGCTACTCACACAACGCAGGTTTGTGCCCCTCACATCCGTGAAGAGAACCAGTATCCATTTTACAGTAAAAACAGCGAATTAACTACCGAGAAAATTATGGAACTGCCTTGTTTTACCGACATCTTCAGTTTCAATGCACAACATCGGAGGAGGACTTAATATGCTACGTTCCTCCTTATACTTAATCCATCCTCAGTTACTTTTTACCTAAGACACAACTACGCCAGTCCGTTACTTTATTTTCCATGTCATTAATTCTAACACCAAGATCTGCCACAAGAAGGTAACA